GCCGATTGGAGCGAGCAATTCGTGTTCAATGTTCATGCCCGTAGCATTTTGCCTTGTGACGGCCACAGCGGCATCAAAGTCCTCTTCCAATATCCCTCATGTATCCTGGCATCAGGGGACCGAGTCCGAGTTTTCGCTCGGTTGCGAGCAAATGTTGCCTCATTGGCGCCCCCGACATCTCTCGAATATGTGGCTGAAAAACGAGTTATCAGAGGACAGCACAGTTTGCACTTTGATTGTGATTTATTCACCGAACGCTATGTCGAATATTGCTTCGTGTATGTGAGCCAAGCAATCAACGACGCCGTCGCCGACGTCAGGATGGATTGCGTGCCCACCCTTCCTGTCACAGGTATGTAAGGCGATGCTGAAAACAACCCCTTTTCGATAAATCGACTGAAAGCGCTGAAAGATTTACAGGAGCACTCAACGCCTCGTTTCAGGGCCAAAAATTGAAAGAAAATAAAGAGAAAAACTAACTGTTCCATTGAAATTAATTTATGCAAAAAACGTTGATAATTGATATTTTGTAAAGTAAATATATTCAATTTATAATTTTTAAAACACTTGTTAAGAAAACAAAACGAAACAATTTTTTAATAAAAGAGAACAAAGAGAAAAAATAGAAGAAAAAAGTAAAAAAATAAAAAAAAGTTTGGAAGCAGAGATAAAACCCTAAAACTTGTAATAATTCTGTGTGAAATATTTTGGATATTAAAGAAAACATTTTTTAAAAAAGCTATTAAGCAAATTTATTTTATTTAGTTATTTACATTTTTGTTTAATTTTTTTTCTCTAAATTTATAAAAACGGGCAAAAATATGCATTTCCAGATCTAATTTTGCAATTTTACACTCAAATTTTTGGATATTTTTTGAGAAAAAACACTCTACAATCATAAAACAAACAAAAATGACATACTTTTAAATTTAATTATAAGTTTTTGCCTTATTTTTTAAGTCCGAATCTTTTGAATTATTTGTTAAAAAACACTTGTAAATTTACAAAGATATTTTTTTTTATTTCTAACAGAATAA